CGGTCGCTCGGTGTAGTTCGCTTGCGGACTAAAACCACGGAGTGTTTGTTTGTTTTATATAATTAGAGTAATCTTCAGGGTTTTATATTTAATTGTAGTTACAATTTGTGAGTATCCAATAAGTCTATTCACCAATCCAAACCCCGTCTACAAGTCTCCAGCACACATGACAATGTGTTCCTTAATCCACCTTGGCGCACACATCAGGACGTTGGCGTGTAGGGGCATTCATATACTTATAAATGGCAGGGGGAAAACAAAACTGGCTGTTGAACTAATGTAGAAGTTCTGCCTAGAAATTGTGAATCTTTGGTTAAAAGTCAAATCTAGCTTTGTACCCCTGAAACAAATCAAGCTGATCAGAATCAAAACTCAACAAGAAAACAGTTCCAGGCCTGATATATAGCTACAACCAATTACAATGTGAATTCAATCAATTTAAGGCTGTTTCATCCAGTTACTTACGTGAGAACATTCTTTATATTATTCGCATTTCCTTAGAATTGAATAAGTTGATTCATGAATTAATTAGTGAGTTTGCATTTCCCAGAATTCTATTTAGAGTCAACACTATAAAACCATTCTCAGCGAGCGCCTCTTTGTCAATGACAACTGTTCTGGGAGTCTTAATTAGAAAGCAGTGTTACTAACACAACTTCAGAGCCATATCGCCATAAAACAGTCTTCTTGAAAACAGGAAACATAACAATGTGTCTCTTCTGATTCGTTACTGCTGCAGCCATCCAAAGATGGCTCCACTTCCTATGACAAACTCTCAGACCAATTCTCTATAAATGGGCGTTAAATGGTTTCCAAGAAACGTTAACCTTGGGAACAAGACCTCGACGATCCCACGGGATGCCTGAAATATGAGAAACTTAGCGGCATTATAGAAGTGCATCTACAATCTGCCTTTGTTTGCACTGGGTATTCTGGTAGATAGATCGTGGGTTTGATTCCAGGCTGTTTCACACTGCCGAAACCAAACACAAGAATTGACAACTGCGTATATTTCGTACTGTATAAACAATAGTAAACCCTGTAGCTTCCTGAGAATATCTGAACTGCTCCTTATTTCCTCCCCCCCACCAAAAAATAACTTTATAAGCTAAATGCTGGACGCTCATTAATCTGTTCTTTTATTGCTAGTGGGGTGGGACTAAGTCCCTCGTACTGCGGCCACTTCTGGCTTACTGTACCGGCCCCAGATGATAGGTGAGGGTGATTGTGGAGCAAATGGTAGAATGAAGACTGGCAGGGGAAACCGAAGTACTCGGAGAAAATCTGCCCTAGCGCCACTTTGTCCACCACAAATCCCACTTGACCAGACCCGGGATCGAACCCGGGCAGCCGCGGTGGGAAGCCAGCGACTAACCGCTTGAGCTATACCTCGGCTCTCATTAATCTTACCATGGACGCCTCAATCTTGGTTTGTTCAACGACGCTCTAAATAGCTCAGACAATACGGCGTCGAATTGTTGGATTAATACAGCATGAATACGAAAAGGTTTGTTGCCTTATTTGAGGCACTGATCCTACATTTGCCTGCAGAGGCTGAGGGAAATCGCGAAAAATAATCAGACCGCTCACCGATATTTGAAGCCGGGACATGCCGGATACGAAGCAGGAGCGCTACCCACAAAACCACGACGTTCGTTGTGAAGATCACCTTCGTATTTTTCATGTTTTATGACGAACATCGTGAACGCGGTGGTCACGCTACGTCTGAGATTGTTGCAACGCTGGAAGGATATTGAGATGTTACGGTGTTAAATGCCAGAGAACCATTAATTATCTATAAAGGCCGTTTTTATAGAAATTGAATATAGCATGTTGGCCGTCACGTAATAACCTTGATCCTCTCCATGAATAGGAACCTATATGTACGCTTTCATGTTCAGTTCGAGGAATAAAACTGGCGAACTATTGTACCTACATAGACACTACGGGAACTAGAACATAATCATGTATATAAAGTAAGCATTTTGTGGTTACATAGCAGAAACTTAACAACGTTTCTAACATTCCAGGCTATTTTGTCGAAGAACTTAACACAGGGTAAAGAACTTTTGTTTCTCTCTTACTGACCAAAAGTCAGTCCCGTTGTTTTCTCTGAGTTGAACCAGAAGCATACAAGTGGCGGTCATTTGTTGTCATTGGTACAAGCTTATTTCAGATGGAAAGAAACCACTTGGAAGACCAAGACGTAGGTGGGTGGGCAATATTAAAATGGATCTTAGAGAGATAGGATGGTATGGATTGGATTGGTTTGGCTCAGGGTAGGGATCAGTGGAGGGCTCTTGTGAACATGGTAATGAACATCCGGGTTCCATAAAATCCTGGGAAGTTCTTGAGTAGCTGCAAAATTAGCAGCTTCGCAAGAAGGGCTCAGCTCCGTGAGTGAGTGCTACAGGCTTATTGTCACCGGTCTTTGCTAAGATGACAAAATTGAGTCCTACAGAACGGGAATATTTATACAAACATTATGAAAGTGTACTAAATTAATTAATAACACGGGAAACGATTATAAAAATTATTGCAACAGTTATACTAACTGTGAGTTCTTTATGAAGGTACAAAAATGAGTGTGTGTTCATATAAGTGCTTGTAAGCAGTGAAAGTCATTGTCGGGCCGGAAATGTGTTGGTCACGATACTAAGAAGCCGTCGGGTTTCAATACAGCACGAGCAGTCAGTCAGTCCACGGTGAAGTCAGCCTCTGGGGTGAGTGGGGACAGGCATGTAGTAAGCACACAATTTTAGACAAGACATTGCTGACGCCGTGCGCACACGACTTTAAATGACGCTACTAGGATGACAAGCCAAAATTAGACATGAGTCAAAAGAAGTGATGACAGGGAACTTGAAGTCATCAACAAAATGTACGAAAGGGAAAAGGTCATATTCCTCCATATGTTGGTAACAGGTCAAATGTACCGACTAAACAAACGTCCTTGAAGTCACTTGATTTCCCCCAGAAGCTACATTACGCAGTAAAATACAACAGCTGCTGTAGATTTGACTGTCGAAAGTTTCAGCTTCGCGAGAGAATTTCCAAATGAACTCAACATGGCAGGAGAAGAAAAGTGGACACGTCAGCCACACACTCTTTGTATAAACCAAGAAAATTAAGAAAAGTCTACAAATTACAATATCATATCTGGCGTCAATTCTTTTCTTTTTACTTTATTAAATATGTCCTTAATAAACAATTATAGTGATTCCTCAGAATAATTTCCCTAATTGTGGATGTTAAAAAGTAAATTAATCTAAAGGTAAATATTATAAAATAACTGAAAAATCAGGAAAATATGTTGATCCTGTGTTGAATTTATAGTCCAAGAAATTTGGGAGGGGATATATTTTCCTACAGTGAAATTACATTATTCAACTTCGAAATATTTAAATGTATCCCTTAAAACCCTTCTTCCTTAGGTACAACATCCATCCTAACTTCCTTCCTTCCTTCCTACATTAAAATTGTATGGAAATTCAGAATTATTAGAATACATGTGGCATCTTTTTTGATTGAATGCTAAGAAAAATCTCTTGAATTATCGTCAATTTGATTCGAGAATATTCTGGGTCGAAATGTGTAGCAAAAGTAGACACAATTACACCTAAATTCAACGGAAGAAGACAAAGCACATGGGACATTAGACGATCACCGTACCATGATGAACCAGCTCCGTAGCGTTACTCTTAATATTACACTGATTTGCGATAACACAAGCTAAACAATTTTTCTTAATAATCTATTTGTTGAAAAAAATATCATTGTGTTACAGTTACGTGTCGTGTATGAAGGGATTTGAAAAGCAATTACCCATCATATCAAGTCTGCACAAGCCCATACACTTCCATCAATCCTAAGCATGAAGAATTATAGGCCGCGCCATAGCTCAAACGGTTAGTAGCTGGCTTCCTACAGCGGCAGTCCGGGTTCGATCCCTGGGTCTGGTCAAGTTGGATTTGTGGTGGATAAAGTGGCGCTGGTGGGGGTGCTCCGAGTACTTCGGTTTCCCCTGCCAATCTTCATTCCACCAAATTCACCATCATCATAATCACCCGGGGCAGTTACAATAGGCCAATCAGTGGCCGACCTGCCGAGTGGACCCAGCTGGACTCCACCCCCCACTAAGCGAATTTAAGTATGAACAAATTTCGGTGTCCTCTTCGGGCCAGGAGTGAACAAAATACAATTAGTCTTGCGACGTTGGGTAGAGTCTGTATCAACTCCCTTTGTCTAATATATTCTAAGTACATCATAAAAACAGAATTGTAGTAAACAAATTAAATAAAACATCATTTACAAGTTTCGGGATCCACGTGTCTGTATTCGCTATTGTAACTTATTATAACTCACAATGAATATGGCAGAGTCGAATGGGGAATTTCGGAGAGGGTGTCGTGAATGTCTGAGTGCCCAGAGGCACTATGGACGTTGCAGCCACGAGGGTTGTTTCAGACCACATAGAGATACTTAATGGAAGCAACAGCAGCAGCATCAACAACAACAACAACAACAACAACAACAACAACATGTTGGATTTGAGGTTCTCAGGAGGGTGATTATGAAGAGTTGCAATTCCGAGTATTTCGGAGACAGCCCGACGTTTCAGGGTAGAATAGTAACTTAATGAAGAAGGATGGTTTCTTGTTTGGCTTACTTCACGATTCGGAAGACGGAAGCGACACATTCCTCCGAAACATCGGGCCATGTACGTACTACACGACGTTACTAACTAAGAACACTGAGTGAAGTGCTCAAAAATAGGTGAATGATCCGTTTGAACCCAAATGAAACAAGGAGAAATTTTTGGCTACTCGGTAGCCTACAAACTGAGCCTCCTGGTTGCCCGACAAATTCATGCATCCCTACAGGACCTCACAATGATTCGAGTAGGATAAATATCGAGACATACCGCACTATCGTTGCAAATTCTCGATTGTTTATCTGTAGCGATCGAATTTCAAGAGATCTGTTGATGCAGTACTCACCCTTGGCATGACATGCTACTGTCGATATAAGCAGTATAATGGCGACCACTCCGCCTGTTCCCATCGTACGATACGTACGGACGCACTCACTACATGTAACTGACTGTCGAACAAAACACGAGCCCGTCCCTACCTGTCTGACTGCATCTCCCCTCCAAAACATCGCCGGTAAACACAACTCAGACTTTGTGCAACAGTGACACAAAGTGGTGCCACGATGTTTCTATGGCCGTAGTCTGTGTTATCTCACTTCTGTCTCTGTTGACATAGCTCCACAATTTACCAACAGGTATAATTAAATTAAATGATTAGCTTTCATTATTAAGCACAGATTTTTTAATTTCCTCAACAACTCGCGGCAGCTTATAATGAAGCCACGAGAAAAGAAGACTTTTGATGCACCCCCTCCACATCTCCCTCTGGCTATTACACTCCCCCCTCTAGTAAACCGCCCTCTACAATAGGGCCTCGGACTTACATTTAATGATTTCCCGAAAAATCGTGACTCGATATCAATATCAAATTGGGCATTGGAGCTGAAAGTCCATGCCAAATCTTTCGTCACTTTAACTCCTATTATAATATTGTTCTATTGTTTTAATAACAAAATCAATAAAGGGACATCAAATGACGAAGTATCAAACATTTGAACTATTGTAAATATTGAAAACAAGTAAGTTTACTTACATTAGTGTTTACCATGATTCGTTACAATTCGAGCTACCAGAACACGTTCAAGTTTTGCAAACAATTAAATTGATATGTAAGATTTTAGGTTTTCACGGCGATGGCTATGAAGAATGCTGCAGCCACCTGCTCACGCTGGTTCATCGCTCGTGGATTTTTTGTACCCTGAAGATGGTGGTGATACTTTACTCTGAAACGTCCGTTAACGCAATATCTATGGCGCCACATCCCAGAAGACGGTATTTAAAAAAAATGCAATTTATCAAAATCCGACATCGCCAGAACCTCGTCGAATTCAAATTTGACTTTAGAGTCGAAAGCCCCAAAAATTCAGAGCGTAAATCTAATGTGTGTTTCTTTTTCGATGAGATCTTAAGTACTGAAATTTGTTAAGTAGGCAAATCGTAGCTCGAAACACGACTATATTCCCCTCGAGTCATATTGCATTTATGAAGCACAGTCAGTCACATTGAATTGAACTACTGCCATTTTGAAGGTAACAAATCCGGCATCTGTCACCCCCCTCCTCCGTCTCGATTTTTGGAAAGACTTCTGTTTTGATTACAAAACCATTTAAGAGCTCCTACGAAATTTGTTTAAATTTAACGTAAATCTCTATCCAAATATTATGGCTGTCCCTCTTTGGTGGGCAGCGTTCAGCCAGGCTGTGAATTTTGACACAAAGGGGCTGTTTTCTTCCTGTACTTAATTAAGCACCGCTCTATGGATGACTTATAGAGTGGAGCTATAGCTCCGGTCTTTCGTAGTCAGCAGTCAAATAACACCGTTCATCCTTGTCCGACTCGAAACAGTATTGGCAGACAGTCTCCTGTTGGCCAGGCGCGTTGCTAATTGTATGGTTTATTTGCGACCTTTTCTTCACTACCACAGCGTTCCTGGCTACATTTTCACGCTTGGATGTGGAACACAATGCTATTTACTTTTGCCCGATTTCGGTGGGTTAATGAGTCACAAGTTGGCGTGGTCAGAGTAACTGCTAGACTCTTGATGGAGTGGAGTGGTCAGTTTCAAGTCAGGGCCACTTCATCCATTGGATAAAAAGACTGGGTTGACCCCCAGAGCCGGTTTGAATACCGCGAAGAGAAAATTCTCTGACCCTGCCGGGAATCGAACCTAAATTTCCGATCTCCCAGCCCATAATGTAGTCACTATATTAACTGAACTACTCGGCTCACAGGCAGAAACTGTGTTCTAGTGTTTATTTCCTAAGTGCATTGCAGGATCTAAGAGTTCTAAGAATTTCGACCAGTGTCACTTTAAACCTGTGTTGTCCTCGGCTTCCCCAGACGTACAGATTGCTAGTTAATATACAGCGCTCTGTTAGCAAGTATCTCACGTGTTAGCAACCACACGGTAAGCATGTGACTGATGGTCTTCCGAAACCAGGTAAAACTATCTCACTAAAATTCCTTGTGAGAGATTTGAGGTTCTTACGGCAGCTATTATGAAAGTTACTCTACGGTAAATCTCTGCACCGAGTCAGCAGGTTGCTCTGAAATTGCCGTAACGATCTATCGAACCACGTGATGTCACGTCCCAGAAGATAGCAATATTTTAAATATTCTTTTTCATCTAATCATAGCCACAGAACTGATTGTGACCTTGATTACGGATTTACTATGAAAATAAGAGTATTATCTAGGGTCCGTGACGCCGTGTATGTGGTAGATAGGTACAAACATTTCGGAGGAATCTGCTGCCTCCATCTTCAGGAACGAAGAACCACGTCCGGAAGGATCATACGTAATCTTATCCTTCTACGCCATGAGAACATGAATTACCTTTTATTTCCTCCTTACGATATTAAGGCTGTTTCTGGGTTCCTTGAAAGACCAAGAGTGAATGGTTCCTCCATGTACATAGTGTTATAGGGGTCTGTATTCCTTGTTCCCCATAGTGGGGGGTGGAGTCCAGCTGGGTACACTCGGCACGTCGGCCACTGGTTGGCCTATTGTACCTGCCCCGGGTGATTATGATAATGGAGAATTTGGTGGAATGAATTTTGGCAGGGGAAACCGAAGTACTTGGAGAACCCCCCCTGCCAGCGCCACTTTGTCCACCACAAATCCCACTTGACCAGACCCTGGATCGAACACGGGACGCCGAGGTGGGAAGCCTGCAACTAACCGCTTGAGCTATGACACGGCCTCCTGTATTCCTTGTTACCAAACAGGTTGTCATGGCAGTAGCGCTTCGGAAAGGCCGCGCCATAGCTGAAGCGGTTAGTCGCTGGCTTCCCACCGCGGCGGCCCGGGTTCGATCAAGTGGGATTTGTGGTGGACAAAGTGGTGCTNTGGTGTTCCTCAGTCCCTCCAGAGGAAGATCATGTCAGCTTCCTTCCAAATCCTTTGTAATTCATCTATCATCCTACAATCCAACGCTATATACTGTTGATTCCGAAAGCATCGTTAAACAACCCCTTGGTTTCATCTCACTTAGGCACGGCAAGGCGTATCTGTTACGCTAATTGTCTCTTTGTTCACAAGGAAGCGTATGTCTAGCTTAATTGGTTCTAATTACCTGTGCGCATTTTTTGCTGGGTCCCGTAACAGGCCAGTTCTCAGACTCGTGACACTGTGATTGTTTTCTTAATACCCACCTTACTTTTGCTGGAGCAGTGGCGTGCATACACTCATGTTCCAGTGCTGATTATTAGGCTAGTGACATTCTCACACTTCTAAAACAGTGGCGAGCATCCTATGTAGGTAGCAGCGGCAGAGATACTCGGTTTATACAGTTACACTGGGAAAACCTGGAGAAAAGGATCACTGGGAAGACCTAGAGGATGATGCTATTAAAACAGATCTTATATAAATAGGATGGGAGTGAATTGGATTCATGGGGCTCAGGATAGGGACTGATGGTGTGTTCTTCTGAGTGTGGTAATGAGTCTTGAGATTCAGCAAAATATTGAGAATTTCTTGCGTGAGTGAGTGACTATTGGCTTCTCAAGGACTCAGCTTCATGGAGTTAGTAAGGATACTCTTGCAGAACAGTGATTAGCATTCTCTGGTTTAAAATTAATCTAATTAAGCAGCACACAATGAACATGTAGGGGGAAGTGGAGGTATGACTCCACATTCATAACCTTGGTACTAGATAGTGTTGCAATGAATACGCTGATACATTCGCAGAATAAGAACAAGAATGTTTAAAAAGGACAGTGGAGTGCATACTCCCCACTGGAATAATCAGGTTACTCTGGAAGAGCCAGGATAGTGCAGTCAGTATAGCAACTGGCTACTGGCTGGTTGACTTAGGGGTGAGAGTTTGAGTCCCGGTAGGTTCAAGAATTTTCACTTCTCTGTGTCATCTAGATTGGCTCTGGTGTCCACCCAATCTCCTATCCAATGGGTAACAGGGACTCCTTAATCAGGGGTAAAGCAGCAGAGGGGTGAAGCTACTGACATCCAACTAGTGCCGAGGTCAAGAAAACGTGGATCTATACATCCACTACCCCATGTGCCTTCATGGCATAATAGTTAATTAGTTAAGTACAGGGACAACTTCAACTTTACCTTTTACCAGGTTGCTCTGATGTAGCAATGCCATTCTTCTGGATCAGTGATGTGCTTACATTAATAAAATGATGGTAAATTGGTTTCTAAAATATAGTCATGTGCATGCTCTGATGCAATAGTGGCATGCTAAAAAGGAAGGAAGAAAATGGTAACAAAGAAATAAATAAGAAGGGTTTTAATAATAAGAAAAGAAATTTTTGAGGAGGAAGGAGAGAAAAAGGATCAGGAGAGGAAGTAGAAGACAAAAGAGGAGATGAGAGAGAAACACAGGAGGAGAATGAGTAGGCTAAATGTAATTTACAGAGGTCTCTGTGATGTTAAAACATTAGCTTCCTATATGGAACTGTAGTGGACCGTGCCATAGCTCAAGCAGTTAGTCGCTGGCTTCCCACCGTGGCAGCCCTGATTCGATCCCGGGTCTGGTCAAGTGGGATTTGTGGTGAACAAAGTGGCACTGGGGCAGGTTTTCTCCGAGTACTTCGGTTTCTCCTGCCAATCTTCATTCCACCAATTGCTCCACAATCACCCTCACCTATCATCTGGGGCTGGTACAATAGGCCAGAAGTGGCCGCAGTACAAGGGACTTAGTCCCCACCCACTAGCAATAAAAATTATATGGAACTGTGGTAAGAAAAAAATAGTGACATTAACCAGTCATGTTTTGTAGTAGAGCTTGGTTGTCCCACAGTTGAGACAACATCTTGATTACCTCAGCTCCTTAGCGAAGCTGCAGTCAACATAATACAATGCATGGTTTTGCTTCCTGTAGGGATCATTTCTTAGGATTTCAATTCCCTCTTTGGGCCCCTCCTTATATTTGTCCACCCATTGTTTTAAAGCTTATAAAGTTATGTAACATTGTTCCATCAACTGCTGATATCAAATGAGATACTTCCTTGCCTACTCTACAACTACAGTTCTCTTAGAACCCTGGTATCGTTTATGTAATATGCTCATTTACTGCCCATTGCTGCTTATTAATGTATATCTTTTGTGAGGCTTTTAGCTTCATACCTGACCCCAAGCATAGATGACCAGGTGCTACATATCGCCTGATCCCCACCCTTCGACCTGCCTAACACAAGTAACCTTATCAGTAGCTTACACCTCCATCAACAGAGCTCTCCAGGTGAATGCAGCATGCAAATCTCTGCAATAGCTCAGGGAAAGAGCAACAGATTCTAATAATTATAAATGATACTGAAGATGAATGTAAAATGATGCTTTTGTTAATGAATTGTCTTAGTGACTGTGGAAAATCATGAAAACTGGCTCAGAATTGTAGGTTTGCAGGATTTGAACCAAGGGCTGCTCATTTGCAGCTAACCAAAGTGACAACACAGTTACAGTAAAGTTTTAATAACCAAATATAAAATTTGTTCCTGTACAAAATCACATTTACAAATATAAATGTACACATTATAACACAACACTTTCTTTGTTACTGTGTGATGGGATGCAGCAGGACAACAAGGACCACGTAGCACATGGTGGAAGTGAATGGGATGCTAGCATGTGAGTAATAGTCACTAGGTGGAAGCATTGTGCACTGACTAGCACGCCAGTGACGCACGTTTCCAGAGCTATCTCGTGCCAGCAGACACAGCTCAAGGTGCGGGCTTGAGGGAAGTCCACGCACTATATGGCTGCGTGCATTGTAGGGAAGGTCCAGCTCTAGGACCACATTCTGCGCCTCGCGCGCCACCAAGCGGAAGTCAGCAACATCACTATGTGTTGACACAAACCATGTGATTGAAACTCCATTGTTTGTCCTGTTGAACGGAAGAATTATGTAAGCAGCAAATATTAACTGTTACCTAACAGTATCCTTAGCGAGGTGATCGCTTCATGGTTTGCAGTCCAATTCATTCTATTATGTTCACTTCAGGGCACAAGAAAATTTTCTGTTCTTGTTTCTGCTTCCCCTCTCTTTTCGCTCATTCTACATATATTATGATTTTAGGAGGGGCCACGCCATAACAGAGGTGATTAGATGCTGGCTTTTACCACAGGTGAGAGAAATCAAAGAATGTAACTATTATTTCTTTTTTATTATTGCTAGTGGGGTGGGACTAAGTCCCTTGTACTGTGGCCACTTCTGGCCTATTGTACCAGCCCCAGATGATAGGTGAGGGTGATTGTGGAGCAACTGGTGGAATGAAGAAACCGAAGTACTCAGAGAAAACCTGTCTTGGTGCCACTTTGTCCACCACAAATCCCACTTGACAAGACCTGGGATCGAACCCGAGCTGCCACGGTGGGAAGCCAGCAACTAACCGCTTGAGCTATGGCGCAGCCTAAGAAGACAACTGAGGCAAGCCATAAGAATAAAGAATTCAAAGACAGTGTACAACAAATATGACATTATTAACAGAGTTACCCAGAAATTTTGAGATAATGCAAATGTTGCAGAGAAAGGTGCAGATATGATCGATATCTTCCACAACCTAACAACACCTTCATGTTCAACAGTTCCACGCACCTGTGAATGTCTCGGAACTTAAGGTCTGGATTGATCTGGAAGCGAGGGCTGTCCCGCTCAGCACCGCAGGTCATCCGGTCTTCTGGAATGACAGCAATAGACTGTCCCTCCAAAAACTTGGGTGCAGAACATTTTAGTGTGTCCCATTCAGGGCCGGGGGACACCTGTGAGTCCAGCCACTGCCTCAATGGCCGCACTTCACAATCACAGCTCACCGGGTTGCCTGTACAAAGGCATAACGAAATCTGAGCATTAATTTGTCTAATTTATAAAATCAACTGAGAGTACTGGATAACAGGGTGCAGAGGAGAATATTTGGATGTAAGATGGAGGAAGTAATAGGAGACTGCAGAAAACTGAATGGTGAGGAACTTCGTAATATGTACTCCTCAACAGATATGAGGACGTTCAGATCAAAAAGGATGACATGGGTGGGGCATGGGCTATGCATAAAAGAGAAGTTGAATGTATAGAAACATCTGATTGGAAAACCTGAACAAAAGAGACCATTTATATAGAACACAGTCATAGTGGAAAGATAATATTAAAATGGATCTTAATGAAACAGGGTATGAGGTTGTGAACTAGATTTATTTGGATCAGAATTAAGACCAGTTGTGGGGTCTTGTGAATGTGCTAATGAATATTAGAATGCTTTGTGCTCCTTGACCAGCTGAGCAACTATTAGCTTCTGATGAAGGACACTGTTCTGTGGAGATAGCTAGACAATTCACATTACAATGCATGCAGAAACACGGGTTGGTATTAATGTAAGGTGTCCATTATTTTAATAAAAAATAGAATGTCTGGGCAAATTCTACTCAAACTTGTCAATATCAGAGTTCAAGAAAATCAATTCAGCAGTTTTCAAGCTGTTACTGCAAACAGATCAGACAGCCTAAACAGAAACAGCAAATCTAACAGGACCTTCATTGCTAATGCATGAAAGGTCTGCAATTCTTTCCTGACTCCAGGTTATCCCTTGCATTTGAAAAGCCCATGGATCAGATTCCATGGTCTGCTATAACAATAAATAATAGTTTCCTGATATGAACATCAAGAACACACCACCATATGGACCAAGGGAGAACTGATCTTGTTGATACTTACCCGAATATAAGATGCGCGTTCCATTCTCAACAAGAGGCATCAGTTCATGGTGAAAGTGCTGTAATCTGTTGGCCCGCACATCAACTATTCTGAGCTGTGGCTTAAGTGACACAAGATCCACCAGAGGCAGCATGGTCAGCTGGTTGTGTTGCAGGTAGAGAGTGGTGAGGTTGCGAGGGGGGCCGAACACTTCAGTGGGCAGCTGGGTGAGCTCATTGTTTGATAAGTCAAGCACTTTAACAGCTGTAAGGTTACCAAGGACATCTGTAACAAAATGTAACTCATTGGTGTGTTGCCACTGCAGCAGATTTTACTGAAGATGCTGTCAGACTTTTCCCCAATCTCAGGCCATGTTATAACCCAGTTTCAAAGCTGCTTCATTTTACTGCAGCTCATACAATGTGTACTCATTGTGGAGGATCCTGTAAGTGTTTCTGTTTGTTTAACATGTACTTTCCGTGTCCGGTCACTAAAAGATACTGTTGGAGGTCCCCAGGGTCAAATCATGTTGTAGATCGTTTCATACACATCTCAATTATAATGAAGCTCATTCAGTGTGAAATGATGGCCGTGCCATAGCTCAGGTTTCAGCACAGGTCAGATCATGTGGTGCACAAAGTGGCACTGGGACAGGTTTCTTCCGAGTATTTCTGTGCCCCTGCCAATTCTCATTCCATCTATTATAAAGTAAGTAAAAAAAAAAGTAAAGGTATCCCTGTAACAGGCCTTGGAGGCCCTTAGGGTTGTGAGATGTTGAGGTTCCCACATTTTCTAGACAATTGGCTCATAGATGGCGGTGAGGTTGTCAGCCTTACGTGCCAGCCACCCTTTACTCATTTCTGTTAGAGGCTGAGTTGACCCCAGGGCCATATTGAAGCTGGAAGGATTAGGTAAATTGAAAAAATCCAATGACCTCATCAGGATTCGATCCCGCGACCTTCCGGCTTGTAGCATAGTGCCTCAACCAACTACACTACTGCATGCCCCTTCCATCTATCATCTGGGGCTGATATAGTAGGCCAGTTAGTGGCTGATATACCAAGTGGACTCTGTCTCACCCCACCACAAGGAACTAAACTAATGTGAAATGGATCCCTGCAGACAGTCCCCAAACTCAAGTTTTGTTTAAGCCCACTGCACACTCCACTCAGACAGAGTGTGATTCATTTAATACATCCTCACTCTCTCAAGGATTTTATGATTGGTCCCTAAAGTCACACTGTAGCTCAGTTAACACATGACTTAGATACAGTATGGCTCTCTTACTGTGTACTCACTCTGACACAATTCTGGAGAATATTGTGCATGGACAACAGAGGCATGTCAGATAATACAACTCTCAGTCTGTTATGGTTCGCTTAGTGTGCATACACTGTGGCAGATTTCAACAAAGGCAGGTAAGACTGCAGCTCAGAGAGTGAGGTCAGATAATACAACTCTCAGTCCGTTACGGCTTGAATGGTGTGTACTCACTGTGGCGAATCTCATTGAGGATGTTGTGGCTAACGTTAAGCAGCTCCACACGCTTGGTGCCAACTGTAATATCATATGTCAGCACAGGCATCACGTTATAGCTGAGGTCAACTTCTCGCAGCCTATATGGCACCCAGGGTGAACTGGGGAAGGTGTGACGCGTGATAAACGAGATCTTGTTATGGCTCAAGTTCACCTGACAGACAAACACATTTACAGAAAGACTTACAGAGGCATTAAGTGCTATTACTTGACTAAATATTTCTCACAAGTGTTAGAATGAAGAGTAGACTCCAATATGGCCCTCTTGAGTGTAAGAAACAAACTACAGTACCAGTTAAAGTACAGAACATACATGTAAACTTACATGAATACAAAGTTTACTGTGTTCTTGTATGTGAGACCATGTAGATTGGTGGATGGATATTAATGTTTCAGGCAAAGATGATGCCTCAAAGTTCAAGTTATCTACCAAACTACACAGTAAGATATCCTAGAAGACAGTAACACTACAGTCATGACTGTAAAAAATAAAGCTATCCCTGTAACAGGCCGTGAAGGCCGATAAGTTTGTGAGACGTCGAGGGTCCCACATTATCTAGACAATCGGCTCAAAGATGGCGGCAAGGTTGTCAGCCTTACGCACCTGCCACGCTTTACTCCCCAGGAAAATTATTTAATTAATTCCTGGTACTCATTTCTGCTACAGGCTGACTTGACCCCAGGCCCATAGCGCAGCTGGAAGGATTAGGTCAATTGAAAAAATCCAATGACCTCATCAGGACTTGAACCCGCGACCTTCCAGTTTGTAACATAGTGCCTCAACCAACTATACTACCGCATTACCCCCAGTCAAGGCTGTGAGAACCTCAAATCACGCTTACATAAATAAGGCTATAAAATACATTTTTAAGACAAATAAATATTTCTGGATGTTCTTAAATACTTAATTTCTTGCACCCTTGGATACTTATTCAAATGAAGCAGAATGACAACACATCTCATTACAATTCTGGTTGTACTTAGTTCAAATCTCAACAGAGGAACTTTGTGTCATGACGTCTGTCTTTGCTTTCCCTAAGTCCATCCAGGCAAATGCTTCAGAATTTTAAAATGGTCACTGACTTTCACCTCCATGTAGAGTCCATCTTGAGAATGACCAGAGCACCTACTCATTAGCTTGGCATGGTGCTACTAATAAGATGTAGGATTCATGTTCACTGCTTAAGCCTAATGAAAGTTCTGAATTTATGATATCAAAGAATTCTTATGGGACTACCACTGACAATGAATCAAAGACACTCTTTTCCAACAGTGAGAGGTCGAGGCTCCCAAATTTTATGCCAGAAAATCAACAGAAATGATTTATAATTACAAATTTCCCCCTAAATATGGCCCATTAAATACACAACAAACTATGGCACAGGAGTGTGCTTCTTGTTACCCTTTCTAATGACAAGCAATCATCCAGCAGGCCGTGAGTCTTATTGTCCAGTTTCTCCAACAGATTGTGCGACAGATCTAGAGTCCGCAATGACACCAAACCTGTAACATATGGAGTAGGTGTATTAACTGAAACCAGTCACATAGTTTCTAAAATAAGCCATTCAGATGGATAGACAGACATGACTTCAATATGTGATCACTTCAGGTACTTCACATAAAGAATGTGCAAAACCATTTACTGAGCCATAAAATTAAAATACAGTGTTTGTTAAGACCATTGTCTACTGGGATGTTATACTCTGCAGTCTGGTGGATCATTATTGATGTTTCAGAGGAAACTGCTGCCTCCATCTTCAGGATAAAAGAGCAAGTCAAAGACTGAAATAATGATATGGTCATGGGGGAGGGACGACAGGGGACTAGCACTAAGGCCCTGACTGAACCAGTAATATTTTCTCCATGTTCATCTTAGTCTTCCTCGCCAGGGATCGAGACAGCATGTTCCTTAGATACACTAGTAGCAAACTACATCATATTGTAACGTGTAACCGGGGAAATGCTGCTTTGTTGATTCTGCAATTCCTACGCAATGGCCCACTGTTATTGACTTGTTTCTGTGGGAACTCCCCGTGTATTCATCATAACCGTGGAGACTCATTGTAGGCTGTTGCACAGCGATGACCGTAAGATAGCACGTTACAATATCATATCTCAAAGGACATTATTCTTCATAATCACTGCAATGAAAATCTCAGATTCTCATACAATCTTTACTGATTACATGGATCCAGCTGTTAGAATACAGTATGCACCAAAATATACAGTACTGAAACTCGCACATCTCGAACGTGCATGTGCATTTGTCGATGGGGCATAGCTCCAGCTGCACGTGTACCCAGAAGTGAAAAGGAAGTTGTGTTGTGCAGTTGTCGGAAACGGGTCTCTCAACAGAGGAAAAAGTATTCATAGTTGAGTATTATTTCCGCTCATACGGAAGTGGTCACCAGACAAATTGCTTCCTTGGTTTTGAGCGGCCAGATGTTATCGTCCAGAAACCGCTACATAGTACATGTGTGATGATATGGCGTGCTGTCTCAGCACATGGTATATTAGGCCCCTATTTCATTGAGGATGAGGAAGGCAATGCTCTTACCGTCACTCAAGAATGCTACAGGGACATGGTGATCTGACCATTTCTTCAGGATTTCAGAAGGCTCTGTCATGCAAGGGGCCTTCACATGAATAGACAGTGGTATCAACAGGATGTCTTTTCATTTCAGTACTGCAATTTTTGGTGCATACTGTATGTACCTAGTATATGGCTCACCTTGGAAGGCTCCATTGGGGATGGTGGTGAGGTTGTTTGCCGTGAGGTTGAGCATGAGAAGCTGCAGGAGTCCCTCAAAGGCTCGTACTGTGATATTGTTCAGCAGGTTATGTGACAGATTCAGCTCGAACACCACAGGTAAGCGGCCAAATGCACCCCGCTCCAGTTTTGTGAGCTGGTTGTGCTGCAACAAGAAACTGAGCATATCGCACTGATGCCATGTCGAATTATTGCTGCAAAATGCACACTCAGCTTAAGTGGCAGCACTTCTGATTTGTGTCCAGGAGATTTCTGATTATAATCTTGGCTGGAATCCTGACTATCCTGACTGAGATGTTTCACGGTTTTCCTCATTTCCTCTAGGAAAATGCTGGGATTGTATCTTAAAGAAGCTTAGATCATTTCTTTAATATCCTTTCGAATTCACTATCATCAAATCACTTGATGTTATGCAGTCTGAGTTACTGACAGGGTCATTAAATAAATTCTAAATGATTAAATAAAAATATAATTTAATATGTACCATACTTTCTAACATACACCATAGGCATCAATGATTATGATGATGGTATATTGATAATCGGGATGATGATGATAAAAGATACAAAATCTGTGAAAATGACAGCAATGATAATAATGATATTAATTTATTAGAGTAGTTCCAAGCAGCCCCAATATAAATTTTAATGAAAATGCATTCAGCGATTCTTGGGTTGTTTCATGTGTACAGATGGATGGACAGACTGGGCAAATCTAATAGGCCCTCCGCAGGGTTTCAAACATGTCTAGCCTATACAACTTGTCATTTTATCTTAATTATACAAGAAACATAGGGGCACATGGTAGCACAGTTGGTTGACGCACTATGCTACAAGCCGAAAGGTCGTGCGTTCAATTCCTGATGAGGTCACTCAATTTTTCAATTGACCTAATCCTTCCAGCCGCACTATGACCCTGGAGTCAACTCAGACCCTAACAGAAATGAGTACCAGCAATCTTCGTGCAGGTATAGGTGTGGCCAGCACGTTTAAGACTGACAACCTCACTGCCATCTGTGAACTGATTTTCTAGAAAATTTGGAAGCCTTTATGTCTCACAACCCTATGGACTTCCATGGCTCTTACAGGGTTATCTTCACTTCCCCCCACCCACATTTTAGGAATTTGGAGTGGTTAACTTGTATATTTCAGAAAGCTGTGAAAGTGAATGTGAATGCCATCTGTGACAAACAGAAGTACCGTACATATACCAAGTAACTGGACCAGCTCTGATAGTCCGTTGTTACCTGCATATTAAGGAACTGAAGAGTGGACAATTCACTCAGGCTCTCCCATGGGACTTTGGTCATTCCGTTCCCCTCAAGGTTCAGCTTCTGCAGTGTCAGCAAATTTGAGAATGCGCCCCGCTCAAGTGTGTCTCCAATTGCATTGTAGCTCAGGTCCAGTGACAGCAATGAGTTCATAGTGGGCCATGTCTCCAGCGGTGGAATACTTGAAATGGCATTGTGAGAGAGATCCAGGTCACTGAGTGAGATGGGCAGCTGGAAGATTTGTGTGAGTGAGTTGTTGTGCAGCGTGAGCTTCCGCAGAGATGCGCATCGAGCCAGGGCTGCCTTGTTCACATCTGACAGTTCATTATGACTGAGATCCAACTCAAGTAGTGTGTGCAGTGCACCAAATGTGGAGCCCTTTATTGTATTTAGGGAATTGTGGCTCATGTTCACAAAACGTAGACTGAATAATGTTTGGAACACAGAATTCCATATTTCACGAACCCTGTTGTAGCTGAGATCGATGGTGTGAAGCTCAAACAGTTTGGGAAACGTATTACGAGGAATTTTCTCTATCATGTTGTGGCTTACGTTTAGAACCTTCAGTCCAGTCATGTTATGCAGGGGAACCTGGTAGAAGAAATCAGACATATTTCTATCAAGCACTTCAGTACACATTGATGTTTTATGTGTCATGCTTTGTATTTACATACAAACACACTCAGGTCAAGAGAACACAAAAGGTTATTGTACATCACCTGTATAAGACAAAAATTTGGGCAATGTATGGCCCAAGAATCAAGGGAACCACCTCATGCCATGCTAAGAATTAAAAGAAAAGAGGTAAAGATTTAAGTACCTGTGATAAATCCATCAGCAGATTGTAAGACAGATCCAGTTCTGTGGCATATGTATTGCTGTCAAAAGCAGTGCGAGGGATGCTTTCAATCATGTTGTGAGATAGGTCAAGCAATGTCACATTGGCACAGTTCTCAAATGCACCTGACTCAATGCGTTCAATAGCATTGTGGGATATATTAATGCGCACCAAGTATAGGTCCTTGAAGGCAAGCTTCTGCACTTCTGTCACCTGGTTCTCTGAGACATCAATCAGCTGCAACAGATGATATGCTCTGCAGAACCATGCCAATGAGTTCCAACATGACACTACTTATTGCAGAATAAGTAGAAACTGCCACAATAAGAGAAATAAAGATGATGAAAATGAAGATTACCTCAACGTACTGCAGCTGGTAGAACATCTGAAAGTCTATTTTCTTGATAAAATTCCTTGCAAGATCAACAGTGCCAACCCTTGTCACAGAACCAAATGTGCCTCTCCCTACATCTGTGATCTGATTGTCACTGAAGTATAACCGTCGAATAAAACGCATCCCACGGAATGAGTTGGAATCCAGCCTCCGTAACCGGTTGTGGTTCATATGCAGCACACGCAGCACTGTGTTACGTGCAAAAGTTCCCCTGCAACATGTAGTTCCATCCACATGATATGTAACAAACATTCTATTTCGTTCAGAACAGATATCAGGCATACTTCAAGTTTGTATGTTGTTTCCAAAATATGACATTGTATCCACGTAAGTGTGCAAGTCCATATTATCTCACTGGTAACTGCATGTGTGCTCGACACACAGACTGAATTTTCAAGAGAATAAATGAATGAGTGAATGAATGGATGAACGAAAGAATAAATGAAGGATCAATGAATAAATAAATGAACGAATGAAGGAGTGAATGAATAACTGAGTCAAAGAACGAGTGAAAGAATGATAAAAAAAAAATTAGCAAATAAGTGAATGAATGATAGAATAAATAAATAAACGAAGTAAATTATCAATGAATAAATGAATAAACAAATGAATAAATTAATAAAAATGAATGAATAGCTAAAGAGAAACAAAGAAAAACAAATCAATAAATAGATCGAAAAATCGACATATCAATTCACCGATACATTGATTAATTGAAAATTCATGCATAGACACATAGATAGCTTGACAGTCGATATATCAACGGAAACAATTTGATACGTCGATAGATCAATATATCGACAGACAGACACAATAAATAGTTTAGAAATCCTCTTCACCATTACCTGGTGAGTTCTGCTATGGCATTGTGGGACAGGTTGCACCATGACATCTTGTTCAAATCTGCCAGGTGTGATGAATCCACTTTGGTCAAGTTGTTATGCGACAGGTCAAGTACCTCTGTGTCCCGGAGTCCCTTGAACTGATTCCGCCGCAGCTCCTTCAGCTGGTTGCCATGGAGGTCGAGTGTCTTGAGTTTGCGCAGTATGTGGAAGGCATCAGGAGGCAGTTCGGCCAGCAACCCATTGGTGATATGGAGCCTCTCAAGGCGAGAATGTAGAAGCCCAGAACTTAAAGCATCCGCAGGAAGAGTCTGGAATTTGTGTCCATCAATTCGGAGTGTTGTGATGTTACCCAGTACCTGAAACAATACATAATGTGAGCAGTTGATCTGCTTACATAGTTAAAGGCGGAAATTAAATTTTGAATTCATCTGATAGAATGTTTCCAATTCTAGAAACAAAAATGTTATTGTAAGATTTGAGGCTTTCACGGCAGTGGCTATGAAGAAAGCAGTCTTCTGGGATTTGGCACCGTGTATATGTGGTGTTAACCGACGTTTCGGAGTAACGTATCGCCTCCATCTTCAGGGTAGAGGAAAAATATAAGAAATCTGCAAGCGAAGAGACCATGAGAACCGGTAAAAGCAGACTGGTTCTCACGGTCTCTTCGCTTGCAGATTTCTTATATTTTTTCTTCTACCCTGAAGATTGAGGCGATATGTTCCTCCGAAACGTCGGTTAACACCACATATACACGGTGCCAAATCCCAAAAGACTGCTTTCTTCAAAAATGTTTTTACATCGAAACACAGTTTTGTATACTAAGTTTTGATTCAAAACAGCAATTTGTTTGTATATTCTTCTTGGTCTTAATTAAATTCCTAGTAACTAAATGTGAGAAAAAAGTTTTATTAGTGAATAAAAGTTTATTCTGGGTTAAGTAACGTCACATTATTGCAATCTGCATAGCAAGTGTTATGCATGTTCATACGTATTGCATCCAGACCACAGATGGTAACAAAAAGATGTAAGTTACACCATTTTGACTGCTATTCTTGTCATCTACAGACATGATCTAGTTCAGAAACAACTATTTCAAATTGTTACTAAAAAGAAGTGACAGTATACTGCACTGTGTAATGTCTTGTACATACTCGGAAAGCCAAAGTGGGGAACTCCTGGAGCTCAGAACCCACAATGTGGAGCTCCTGTAATGTTCTGTTCACACCCAGAAAGCTGTGCTCTTCGATGTGCTGCAGAGGCGTGTCTTCCACCCGCATCACTCGCACATGGAGTGGGTATAAGAGACTGCCATACAGACGCCCTGTGTGAAACACAGTAGCATTTCATTAACCAGTGCTAACAGAACAGACAGGTTCAGGAGACCATTATGCTTGTCATCTGTTCCCCAGTTTATATATTTAATTTCTGGGACCCACTACTGGACTATAGTAACATTTGCTGTAGAAAGTCTACACTATTTCTTACAGCTGCAGTTCATATGGGTCTAAAACGTGTGGTAGAGGCTGTGGTACTGCCTTCATTTTGTATCCTAGGGTAACTCTGCTCCATCAAAATTACAATATTGCAAAAGTAAGCTGAGATGCCAAATATTGCTCAAAATGAATGATTTTACCATAAGTTGTAAAATTATTTTCCACTGTTTTTTTAAAAGAGTCTATAATGTGGGAAGAGTTGGGCTGTATAAAGAGAGGGCTAACTTGACAAGGGGTGAGAGGTGTCTTCCCAAAATCAGGGTTGATGATAAAGAAAGAGAACTTCATCATAATGACGTGGACCTGGAAGTGATGTGCTGTGCTCTACATGTCTGCTACTTCTGTAGCTACAGAGAGCTGCCTCTTGGCTCTAGAAATACAAAAGAGCACGGCCTATAGTGGGAAATATAAACTAGAGTCTGATTCCTTGACAATTAAATTTTTCAGAAATATAATTCAGATCAATATTTCAATAAGTTGGGCGGAAGTTTTTGCATATTGGTACGTTGAAGCTTAGTGAGAGGGCAGTCAAAGTCGAACAGAATTGGCCATCACGTCCACCAAACACACAAAGAAGGCAGTGCTAAATTATACAAAGTTTACTGACGGATATGGCACTTGGAGATGGTGAGACGCTCCACCGGAGCGTTCAGTGTTGCCAAATTAGCCATCGCAATTGACAATGATGCCAAATTGGAGTTCTCACAACGAATGTTCAGCCCGCTGTCGCCCCCCGCCTCACATTCACAGGGGAACAGCTGGAGCGGCTTCTCGGGGCACCGGTAGAGGGGGCCCGGGGGCACATAGCCCGCCTCTAGCAGGGGGGCTAAGAGCAGCAGCAACAGCATCTGAAACACAAGAAGACATTTTATAGAAACGGGTTTTGTTTTGGAACAGGATTCTTGTGATTTGGAAGTGCATGAGAGTCAGGAAGAACTAATGTAGAATTCAGTATGATGTGTCTAAAATATCGTGAAGTGCCGAGAGAAAGCCGGAAGGGGTTGGAAGATCAGGGTTGATTTCCTAGGCAACGACCAACGTTCCCGCTACAACTGCTAGGAATGGGAACGCATCCATTGCTATACAACGGCCAGCAATATCCAAGCAACGAGTTGTTTGAAGCGTTCGTTGCCTAACAGGGAATACCTTCCACAAGGTATTCCCTATTCAGTCCGAGTGCAAGTTATAACAGTCCAACGTCGGGCAGAGACCAAGAGAGTTGGTATTCGACAAGAGAACAGAAGAGTTCTTATCCGACTAGAGCAGAAGAGTTCTTATCCGACTAGAGCAGAAGAGTTCTCATCCGAGCAGAGCAGAAGACACTTCACCGTGAATAGCGGTGCGAGAGTGTCATAACATTGAAGAGGAAAGGTCTAAAGGGTGTTATAAGTGGAGAATTTAAGTGTGAGTGTAAAAGTGACTGTTCAATAAATATTCGTTCAAATCCGAGATCCCACAAAATTTCTTGTCCTGCTGCCTAGCAAACACGCGGCAGTATCTTTGAGAATGTACCATTATCACAGAGTGACACAGATTCTTACGTCGTGATTACAAATCTGCTGCATTCTATTTTCAACAAAAACTATAAATTAAAATCGCAATACATGAGGTCTCTTAAAACATTCCGAGCTTTTCTTCCGTAAGATTTCCTACTCGAGGTGTGACGTACCCTTAACGATATTTCAGACGAAGAGCACACAGGATGTAGGGACAGAAGTGAGGTTATACAAGCATTCATTATTATAAATTCAGATTTTATTAAAGTTAAATTTACCCCTGTGCTTAATTAGGTAACCCACCATTAAGATGTCAGGAGAAGGGGGATGCATAGCACAAAGCATTCTTAACTTCAGCGTTAGGTGAAGACGATCGATCAGCTTCACTCACCGGTCGCCTCACACTCCACAGAAAGAGCCCGAGGTACTAGCTGCATAAGAGGCGCCACTTTTGGTCTGGACGTCATATAAAGAAGATAAAAATCCGTTGCCCCTGCCAGGAATCCAACTCCGAGTTCTGTGCCCTCTGAGTTACTCATGGAGCTGAACCCTTCTTGAGGAGCCGCCAATTCTGCAGCTACTCAAGAGCTTCCCAGCATTTTATGGAGCACTCAGGTTCACTACAGTGTTCACAAGAGCCCTCCAGTGGTCCCTATCCTGAGCCAAATCAATCCAAACCATACCCTTTCGGGCCCCCAAATAGAGTTGCCTGGTCTATGGACCAAAATGCAACTCTACAGCTTGTACTGGTAACTGGTAACATCTCTGCCAACATCAATACACTGTGTATCTCCAATAAATCAGTATCAAAGCGTAAATCTGAAAAGAAGCTCGGATGTCGGGTACAACTTTCCATTCGCGCTATAACGTTGGCAGCAGTGAACCTGAATCGAGTGGGTGAATCATACGCCTTCTCAGTGCCGGGCCTTTAAAGTGAACTTGCCATTAAAGGTTAGTACCGCCTTGATCATGGACAACTCATCCCGGATACTCACAAGGCAGAAACGTTTCAAGTTGAAGGCCGAAACAAATGACATTGCTGTGCCTCTCTGTCTCTTGTTCTTATCTCAATGTTCTCCCATTGCGTCGGGATTACAGGCGTTTCGCTCATCCCGTGGCTTTTAAACAGATAAAGAAGTCCTACTGAGGAGCGTTTTCACTTAGTGGGGGGTGAAGTCCAACTGGATCCACTCGACACGGCGGCCACTGATTGGCCTATTGTAGCCTGCCCCGGGTGATAATGATGATGAAGAATTTGGTGGAATGAAGATTGGTATGGGAAACCGAAGTACTCAGAGAAAACCCGCCCCAGCACCACTTTGTCCACCACAAATCCCACTTGACCAGACCCGGGATCGAACCCGGGCCGCCGTGGTGGGAAGCCAGCGACTAACCGCTTGAGCTATGGCGCGGCCTACTGAGGAGCTTACTCCGGGCTTCCACTCGGGAAGTGTTCGTTTCGAACCTCGACTGGGACACCAGCTATTTTGATTCAGATTTTTCGTGGTTTTCTTCAGTCCTTTCATTCAAGCGCGGAGATGGTACCTCGACTGGTTAAAGACCACTTCAATCCCAGTCATCATCAATCATCAAACCATCCAATGTTATACAGCCCAAGAGGTGACTGAGTCGTAAACCAGCGCACAGAAACAAGGACTTATAGCGAATCACTCTATGATTTGGCGCTGGTGGCCTGCTGGGGCGTTATCTGGTGTCCTAGTGAGTTTGAATTCCCACCAGAAAGGTCACCCTCGGGACAGTAAAACCTCTGTAAGAAGTCCATCTTAACTTATTATTCACTGATTTCAAGTTGAATCTGAGGCCACCCTCAATAAGCTTTCGCGCAAGTTGCTTCTTCCGTTGTCTTCATTACTCGCACTGTCGGCAGCTCAACCTACACAGCGTCGAACGGCGGCACGCATAATGCATGAACAATGAACTAGTGAGGATATTGTAGAAGGGAACAGCCGTGGACAAAGGAACATCACGCACAATCTTAATCGGAGTCCCGTCCGAGACTCGAACCGGCCTCCTCCTACCGTATACAAGAAAGAAGCAATACTGTTTGAGCCAACTTACTCGGTTGAATGCCTTTGTGAGTAGGGTAGCTCAGTTGGTATAGTGACTAGACTATAGGCTGGAAGACCGGAGAATAGGGGTAACCCTCCCAGGGAGATATAAACTGTCTTCGGCACAGCGTGTAGGTCAGCGTTGAGACCTATAGTCGCCTGTCCAGTGGCTAATGGGGCTCTACCCCCGGCGGTAAAACAGTCGTAGCTTGGAACTAACCCCTCAACTCATTCTGTTGCCTAAAGTTAAGTAAGACTGGAGATGTAACTCCACTCCCCCATACGTTATTCCAGGTGGGTGCTTAATTAATTTAGCATAGAACGTCTTTACTTTCACCACTGCCTTCGCAAAGGCATTTTAACTAACATGTTTGAAGGGTTTGAAACACGCAACGCAACTGAAGTCTAACTACTCTACGAACATTCGCTAATCCGGTCACAGTTAATCCGGATCGAAATATGTAAAATGCTGTCCACAGTTCAGAACATACTTTAGGACACATGACAATTGGGGAGGCAGGTGAGTCACTCGCCTATTTCCTCAAAGTTGCATTATTACTTTCAAAAACCAATACAACTTCTGAGTCTTCTATCGATGAATACATGTATTTTCTTTTTATAATTTTTAAATAAAGGCCCTACAGTGATATTTTATTTATTTTCATCAGAATTCTTTTTCTTTTCCTTGGCACTACAGCCCCAGTAGGCCTAGGCCTACCTCCATGAACTTCTCAGTTCACTTCGGTTTTTCTAGATCTTACACATTCGGTATGACTCCTTGGGCGGGTGATCAGCTCGTCGCAAGGCCTCTACCTGTACACAAACACAGAAAAACGCACGCACACAAACTAAACATCCATGCCCTGGGTGCGATTCGAACCCACGATCCAGGTTTCCAAGCGAGCGAAGACAGTACATGCCTCAGCAATTCTTACATCATAAAATTTTCTATTTATTTGTTCTAATTTTTTTTTGTCTTTTAGGGCTAAATTTTGCTACACTAATCCCGATTATCGCTTAATCGGGATTTCCTCTCCACCTCCCATTAATCAGGCTTAGCAAGGGTTTTTTTTCTTAGTATCTTGGGGTGGGGTGAGACTGAGTCCATTTGGTACCTCGGCCAATAATTGACCTACTGTGCCAGCCCCGGATGATTGATGAATGTGGAGCAGTCGGTGGAATAAGAATTGGCAGGGGAAACCGAAGTACTGACAGGAAACCTGTCCCAGTGTCATTTTATCTACCATAAATCCCACATGACGTAACCTGGGCTCGATCCAGGCGACTAACCGTCTGAACTATGACACGGCCTTTAGCGAGGGTTTACTGTGTCATTCCTTGAATAGACAACCTTCCGGAAGAAAGTTCCTGTGTAAGCATGTCTCAATTTCCCACAGGCGCATGAATAACAGTAAGACGTTGAGAACAGAGCGCAGAGATAAGGTAGTACCTACGTCTCTATCCCATGATGAAGCAGACATGCCAATAACAGATGGAGTGTACAATCTGAAGTTCCAGTACCTGACGTCTGTCTGACCTTTTAACAGTTTACGATGTGTTTCTCTCCACAGTGTCTTCTCCAAGTCTTCATACGAGCGTGGGGTTAAAAGTTCAGTAAATTTATGGACCGAACGATGAGGTAGCGATTACCGACTTTTATTCGGGAGGCATAAAAAAAACTAAAATCCGTGGCTTGAATCCGCAAGCGAACTATACCGAACGAGCGATCGCCGCTTGTCGACGAAGTTAGTACCAACTTTAGGGGATAGAGGGTGTCACGTGGTCAGCGCAACGGAACCCCACGGCCGTTAAGTTCGGTTTTCTAGACCGGAGCCGTTATGTCCTTGAAATAACTCCTCAATTACCCTTACGAGGCTGAGTGGACACCGTTCCAGACCCACTACTTCTCAGAAATTCTGGTAGCGCCGGGAATCGAACCCGGGACCTCTGGATCTGTAGCCAGGAACTCTGACCACTAGACCACAGAGGCGGGCTTATTCGGGAGGCATCCAGTTTGAAGCTCGACCAGTACATCGACTACCCTTCCTGATGGTTTTCGTGGTTGTCCTCAGTTCTCACAGGCAAACCTCGGAACACTGTCAGAAATTTGACCAAGACAGTTTCCTTCCATATCCTTTCCAATTCATTATTCAGATTCACCATACCAGCCTACGCTATGCAGTCATATCGACGTCACTTAATATGCCATAAACAAAGGGTAGAGGTTCAAGTAGCGACGGAGACACCCAGCCCTTTATCTAATCAGTACCATGGCCATTTTTC